ATTATGCCATGAACATTTGATTGTGCTAATGCGAAACCTATACGTGGACCAAAAGGCAGTCATCAGAACAGAGCAGGGAGACACTGGATGGTTCAAAATCAAGAAAGGGGTCCATCAGGGATGTATTTTGTCTCCATACCTTTTCAATCTGTATGCAGAACAGATCATCTGAGACGCTGGGCTGTATGACGAGGAATGTGACATCAGGATTGGTGGAAGAATGGTCAACAACCTGCGTTATGCAGATGACACAAACCTGCTCGCTGCAACTGAGGAGGACCTGAAACGCTTGCTGTAGAAGGTCAAGGACTGCAGTCTTCAATATGGATTGAAGCTCAATATCAAGAAAGACAGATGAGGAAAGCCCTGGTGAACTATTTCTGAAAACCAGCCAATGCAAACCCTGTGAATCACAACAGAAATATCCAATGCAGTGCTAGACAATGAGACTCCTAGGTTAGAAGGCAATCAAAGCACACAGTGGTTAGTTACAACAATAGGCTAAAGCACATTAGGGCTGTGAAGCTGGCTCAGAATCAGGCAGTGGTGCTGAAGGTTGCTGAGCTGGAGATACTCAACAGCAACAAGAACAGTAACAAATGTCCCTGGATTTACTGGGGTTCATCATCACACTCAACACCGTACTGAGTGTTAGGAGTGCTCTGTAGCTATTGGGAAACAAGTGATCCTATGTTTGCTCTCTCAAAACATGTCCAGTTCAAACACCAAGCCAGATACTGCACTATGAAAGCTGTGTCCATCTCTGAGGCATGGCATCGGGCATTCCCACACTGAAGTCCAATGAGTATCACTCTTCCAGGACCCCAAAAAGGAGCATTTCTCTCCCGATGTTTGAAGTCTCATTCTAGTGACATACTGCTGCTAACCAAAAAGACTCACATTTCCCATTTCCAGTGGTTCAAATCCACCAGTGACTCCATGACAGAGAGTTTCTCAAAGGCCTTGTTGCCCCTGCCCCCACCCCAGTTTAAGAGGCACATGGAATTAGTTTTGCAGCCCACATCATACAGTGCTTTCTGCTCTAATACATAGCTGTAATACTACTACTACTACTACTACTACTACTAATAATAATAATAATAATAATAATAATAATAATAATACATAGCTGTAGCCCCTGGTCATCCTGCATCATGCTTTGTCATCTACAGCATCTAAGAAGGATATATCTACCAGTGCAGAGATGTGTGTCAACAAGGTATTATACATCACTTACCCAGGCTACACAGAATTGAACCCCAAACCAGAGACTCTGACAGTGAGGCCAGCACTTAGTCCCTTACCTGGACAAGTTCCAGCAGCAGCATACCTTTCCTCCCAGAACACTTAACATTGTCCAGAACGTGAAGACTGAGCCCAGGTGAGAACAAAACTGCCCCACGGCAATTAGGGAGGAAGATCACTTGTGGACCAAGCTGGGCTGCTTCCAGAGACTCAAACCATTTTCCCCATCACCAGTGGGGGGCAGCCAGAGACTCAAACCATTTTCCCCATCACCAGTTGGGGGCAGCCCAGCAGTTGAAACCAGGCTAGGCCACCAGAGAAACTGACTTCACTCCACATACTCCTGTCCACAGGAAGGGCTGCTACCCCATCAGCACAGCATCCATATCACCCAGGCTCTGAATCAGGAGGCTGAGAGCTCTTCAAGTGAACAACTTGAAGATTCAGTGTTGTGTGCAGAGAACTTTGGCTTGAAAATATAGGA